GCAGGGCGATCAGGGGGTTTGGGCTCTGCCCCCTGTCACGCTGATCCAGTGCCAGGAGGCCTCGCGGCTCCGCTGATCCCGGTGCTGGGAGGCATATTACCCTTTTACTATATAGGATAGAGGCCTGGGGGCCGGCTGGTTTGCCCTGAAGGGTGTCCTGGATCAGGGTGGGGGTCCCCACTGGGGTGCCTGGCCAGCCTGGATGAGGGGATGATGGCTGTTTGCAGCTGGTCACACACCCTTCAGGGTGGGGGTCCCCACTGGGGTGCCTGGCCAGTCTGGGTGAGGGGCTGAGGGCTGCTTTCAGGCTGGCGGTTGTTGACTGAAGCTCCCAACCGCTCCTTTTTTTTCTCTTTTTTTATTTTATTCTGGGCCAGCTTTAGCTCTGGCTCTAGCTCTGAGGCTTCCGCTGCTGAAAGCTGGTATCTGGTTTGTTTGCCGTTCTATAATCGAAACAATGTATAACTTCAGCTCTGAGATCCCGGCAGGCTGAAAGCTGGTTTCTGGGGTTTTGTTTAGCTACTACATTTGCAACATAGTACATAGTTGCTTAGAGTTGCAACTCAGAGGCCGGCAAGTCAGGCGGGGAACGTTGGAGTCTGCAGTCACTGGAGCAAGCAAGCCTCATGTTCACTTCCAGCTGCCTGGCTGCCGGCCGCCATCTTGGCTGACAGTTAATTTGCATAAGGATATGCTGATTAGCCAATGGGAAGGGTAGCGGTCGTACGCTAATTGCCATGTTTCTCTTTTATTAGTGTAGATAGATTCTAGACAATGTGCATTAATCTATAATGATGCAATCAGATCAGTGGTCACCTGAGGACTGAAAGGGAAAAAGGAAAGGCAGGGGAAGGAGAATGATTTCAAAGGGGCACAGGGAAACTTTGGGGGTGATGATTTCAGAAATGTAAGGATATCAAAATTTATCAAATTGTACAAGTTATATATGTACACTTTTTTGTATGTTAATTACCTCAATAAAGCTGTCAAAATTTTAAGGGCAAAAGGAGTAATCTAAAAGATTAATCAGTGGCTCTAAATTTGACTCTTCTTAACTAATCACTGAAGTACTTTCATCAAAATCAACTCTACTATGGGCAAAAATATTTAAATAATTCTTCACAAAACTGATTTACTTCTTCAGCAGAGATATGCAAAAGCAAATATAAGTCACTGTTCACAAACACATATTTTTTATATGTTGATGGTTATTTGCAGATTTTTAGTGAGTTCTGAACAAGTGAACTACATCTAGGAAAATTATACTGGAAAATGAACAATCATACCTTGATTTGTGCAAAGGGTCTTTCATAACCTCCAACATAAAGAAGTCCAACATTCTGAGGAAGCAACCTACAAAGAAATAAAATGCATTATTTTAAAAATACTCTTAAATGTAAGGTTGCATAATCATCAAAGTTATATAATAGATTAAAAATAAAACAGATAGTGAAAAAATGAATATCTATGCAATTATTGTCTTTTGGACAATTATTGCACTATGGGATAATAACCAGCAAAGAAATAATTCTTTTCTTTTTTTTTTTAATCCCCACCAGACGATATTTTTTCATTGATTTTTAGAGAGTGTGAAAGGGAGGAGAGAGACAGAGAGAAACATCGATGTGAGAGAGACACATCAATTGGTTGCCTCCCACACGTGCCCCAACCAAGGCCAGGGATTAAGCCTACAACAGAGGTATGTGTCCTTCGCCAGAATCGAACCCAGAACCCTTCAGTCCGTGGGCCAACACTTTATCCATTGAGCCAAACTGGCTAGGGCAAGAAATAATTCTTATACTTCAGAAAATAGTGGATACATGTTGAGAATGAAAGCATAAATGTAGAACAGTCTAATATATTACTAATTCTAGCAAAATTACTACATAGTGTCTCTGGGGAAGCATTAAATAAAGTAATACATATATTTTAAAATACATAAGGATTCAACTCAGAACACACTCATTGTATGTCTGTACTTTGCACTATATAATATAATACAATCCTAAATAATTAGGTCCCAAAATCTAACAGGAAAACCAGACACATAAATAATTAACCCTAACAAAAGGTAGCCTCTAATAAGTGCTATTTATACAGGTATTTGCCATTACAAAGTAGTGAAGTAAGAGGAACTTATTATGGAGGGAGCTGAAAACGTTTAAATAGGTGGTATTTGGGCTTAGCTTTGAAGGGTGGGTAAAGCAGAGGGAGAAATTAAGGAAAGTTCTGAGAATGTAGAAGACAATTTTAATTAATACAAAGAGTAGACAAGTATGGCTGGAGTAAGGGATAATTTAGTTGGAGATGAAAATCCAAAGAAAGTTTGGAATGGACCATGAAGAATGCCAAATGCCCTATCTCCATATAAGCAATATGAAGTCATATTTTATAAGATGTACTTATTTCTTATAAAATAATAAATGCACATGAAAATAAAAATCAAACTATATAGAGCTTAGGAAAAAAATAATGGTTCCCTTCCCTGCATCATCCCTCCCTTTCTATTCCTACTGCAAAGCGGTCAATCATTCTAAACTGCATGAAAACACTGTGAATGAAAATATACCGTCATTAGAACTGTGCTTGTGGAATGGTGCAAGGTAGGAAAAGAGCATACTTAAATATCCCTGTGTTTATTTCACCTATTATCACAGATCTTTTCCTAATGGACACTGTGAGTAAATGGACACAACATCAGATTAACACTGTTCTACATAAATACAAAAAAAAAAATTTTTGCCTATACCCCTGCCCAAAGTAACTAGGCCAACATACATCTTTTCAGAAGTTAATAGATGAATGTAAATTCTATTACATCGATCTGAAAATGGAACATTGAATAGTATCTAAAGTGAAAAAAAAAAATAACTGCAAACTCAAAACAATCAAATGGAAAATTCTCAGTGTACCGTATTAGTCTAATCATAGAAAATTTGAACACATGATTATCATAGCTGTCCTTTTAAAGTTAGCTAATGACTTCAAAACCCTACTTCAACAATTCCAAGGTATGCATTTATTCATATTTAAACTTCTCTGAAATTAGAAATCAATGGTGCCTTATAATCAGTCACCAGGTGATGTTGTGAAGTGGCTGTGTGATTACCTCCCACTGACTCAGTTTACTAACTAAGACTAAGAAAGCACATTAGCAAAGCACCTTAGACTTTATAAATTAAGGTAGATAGTCAGTCTCCTTGGAACAACCTATGTTCCCAGACATTCTTTAAAGGCCTACAAAGCATTAACGGCCATTAAAAGAATGTTAAAAGCTGATAAGCACAATCTGAATTAAACCAATTTAGCAAAAAAACACTTAAGTTTAGAATATAAATGATACTTATAGTAATTCATTTTAGCATGTTGCTGAAGATTATAAACACGACAAAAAACATTTTTGTTCACTGGATGCAAGTAGAAAGCATAGAAAATGTCCCAAAATCTCAACTGTGAAATGGAGAATTTCTTAGCCATCAACTGATAAATTAATTCAACCAACAAAACTTTAAATCTCTCACAAATCATTGCTAGTATCATAAATTTAATGTTAGTTAAATGTAACAGTGGCAATTTATTTCCTATATAACAAATATTCACAAAAACCTTGATAAACCCCTCTTAGAAGTAAGAATAGTCACTGTTCATACAAGTAGATGCCAGAAAAAGAAATGAATAAAGTAGGCTGACATTTAAAACTCAGTATGCCTCTAATTAGTATGCATTTCAGGAAATGTGCCAAAATACTAGTATGCCCCCCTTCTTCTAACTTGCCTATCTAATTACCTTTCCTGAACAATAAATTTCTTAAATATATCAATTACATACCACATATATATTTCACTTTTTAAATACTGTTCTTTCTCATTCATGTATCTATTATTCCTCACCATAGATTTTATTACCACCACCATTTGAGTGGGTTTTAACATGTATCATAATTTAAAGGCCTGCTTGCATAAAATACTTTGGGAACACAAATTCACATTTTTAAGATGGGAGATTTCTTAAAATGTTTTTACCTTTCAAAAAATTATTTTGCCAAATTGTATACATAATTATTATCAAATAATAGGCACCATTTTATGATGAAAGGGTACTTGTGTATAACATAGCAATCACATTTTAAATGCCCAGAGTAAGGCATTAATTCAGCACTGATAAATGCATGTATGTATATGAATATGTTAAAATGGAAACCCTGACTCTTTTAGTATCAGGTAATTGTTTTGCCCTTAAGTTACATGAACATTAACATAACCTTTATACAAAAGCTAACAAGTCCCAAAATATTTGCTTATAATTAAATGTTTCTATAGTGTGGCTACCAAAGAAGCTATTTTGGGTAAGTAGTAATAAAAAGGCACTGTTGGGGGGTAGGGGTGGAGAGAATCTATCAGGACTAATGTTCATTTTGCTTCAAGTTCCCAAGTACAAATATAAACAAGTATCTATACTGGGAAGAAAGTTACAAAATTATTTCCAGAAAACCTCCTTATATAAAGGAAAACTAAAACTTGTCATGTAATCAAATAAACATTATTTAAAAGAGCCTCATTCATCATAAACTAATGCTCTATCAGATATGGAAATAATGCTTTAAAAGGAAATTGAGTCTAGAACTATTTCAAACTGAAAGTTAAAGGGTATCTTTAAAAAAATAAGAATAAGCTAAATAACTCAAAATGAACTGCAACAAAATACCTTGAAAAAACATATGGTATCTTGAATACTGACTTACATAAATCACACTTTTTAGCCAAAAAGCAAGTTCTCCAAAGAGTAGACTACATCTAATATATCTACCTGTAAGGAGGGTGGGGTGGGGGAAGACAAAATGCATGCACTCAATATGGGATCAATAGTGTCCTTCTGAATTTGAGAAATGCGTATTATTGAGAAGACCTACATTCTTTGAGACTTCCAGTACAATGTAAATAAAAGCAACATGTGCCTTAGGCTCAGAAAAACTTGGATAAACTAATGAGTGAATTAGTATCCTTAGAAACTTCCATAGCCTACTCTATTCTGCTTTGCTTTCTAGACCCTAGAAAGCATAACACATGATCTAAACTTTTGTTAAAAGAAACAACAAGAAACTACCACCATCACCAATAACATGTTTAAATAATCTGTGTGCCAATAGAAACTAGCTGGAAATGATGTTTGGTTAGGTGAAATATGTATGGAGTGAAATAAATAAGACTGGAGAATCATAAATAATAGAAAGCTGAATCATTTTTGCAAAGGTATATAAAAAGAAATGCTGAGCTACCAATATTCAGAGAATACCCTATCTTACATCACACACAAAAATCAACTCAACATGGATTAAAGACTTGTTGAATGTAAGACCTGAAACCATAAAACTCCTAGAAGGAAGCACTTCCAGCCAAGATGGTGGCATAGATAAGCAAGGTATTGCCTCCTCCCACAACCACATCATAATTACAACTAAACTATAGATCAATCATCATTCTGAACCACCTGAAATCTGGCTGAATGGAAGTTGTACAACTAGGGAATTAAAAAAGAAGCCACATGGAGACCGGTAGGAGGGGTGGAGATGAGGAACAGGCTGGTCCCACACCCACACACCCATATATGGCAGATAATCTTGGCTGCAAAGTCCTCCCTGAGGAGAGAGGGAACCCAGTCCCCCATCAGGCCCCCAAGCCCAGGGTTCCAGTGCTAGGAGAAGTTCCCATAACTTATGCTGTAAAAACCAGCAGGAATGGAGGCTGAGTGAGACAGAGGGCTGCTGGAGTCCCAAGCAGTTCCTCTTAAAAGGCAGACACTTACTCAGACACACTCCCTCTGAGCTCCAGTGCTGGGACAGCAGCTCAAAACGCACCAGGGATATACGGGGAGGAACTGAAGTGTCTGGCATGATGGCAAGAACTCAGGGGCAGCTTTCTCCCAGACAAAAGTGCTGGCAAAGGCCATTTGTTCCTTTGATGAGCCCTCCTCCCACAGAGCCTACAGGCAGGCACCATATCTGACTCTCCATCAACCTGATTCACACTGTCTACTCCACCCTGGTGATTCCCTGCGATCCTGCCCCACCAAACTTTCAAGCCCACCCAAGCTGTTTCTAGTGGCTTTTCAGATTTTCCTAAAATCTCTCAAACAGCAGCATCTGGAGCACATGGTCTCAGTGTGCCCTGTACCTCTTACTAAGTGGCTCCAGGCCCAGCACTAGCAGCAGCTGGCCATGGTTCTTAGCTTGACCTCTTCTAAGCCCAGCACAAATAGCAGTCATCTGCAGATCACTTTGTAGCTCAAGCCAGTGGCCCTAGACAAAACACAAGTGGCAGTTGACCTTGACCTGCACCTCTCAGGGGGTACCAGAG